TACGGAATCGGCCGAGTTTTGACGAATGCCACTTGATAAGACAAAAAGACCAAAAGAGAAGGAAAGGTGATTCTTTAAATTGCTCAAGGTCACAGTGAGGCCTTCAACATGTAGAAAAGTGAATGCCCCACTGCAATTTCAAGACAGTCCGTACCTATGGTTGGAGCAAAATTCTTTCTTACATGTTGTTGACATTCAATTCACAACACCAAATCATCAATTTCACTTGGCAAAGCCAAAAGAGAAGGAACAGTGCTTCTATTGCTGTTCTTCATCTGAAAGTCACAGTGTCAGAGTTCTTAAAAATGCAGTAAAAGCTCATGGGACTAATTCACAAAAATTCTTACAATAAAAAATACTCAATTCGTAAACATTTCATCAAGTTTAGTCTTGAGAATTTTTTTGAAAAGAGCCACAGCTCCACTAAAAGTTCAAGACAGTACCCTAACAATGGTTGGAGCAAACTTTTTAACTAGATGCTGATTCCTCTAAATTCTGTAAAGTGAAGAACACAGATGAGGGTCTGGATGGAGGGCCTGTCATTTTTTCATTCTTCAATTTTTAATGTAATTTTTCTCTCTTCTTTATCTTTCAGCACCTCATTATTCTCAATCCTTTTTTTTTGCCTCCCTCACAGATGTGTTTTGTTTTTGTTCTCAATTCTTCAATTTTTATATTTCAATTAAGACTTCAAATAAAATTGGTGTCTCTGTGAGTTTGGTATTCTAATGTAAAAAAACGAATTCTTAGTTCAATCTCACAAATAGAACAAATTAAATTTTTGCAGATTGTTTCAATAAACTGCTGACACATACAAATGTCTTGCTTGTACGTTTTATTTATAGTTAAATGCAAAAGTGGAATTAAAATGGCATTACTTTAACATGTAAACTATGTAAAACATTTAAAATCAATGAACCATGATTATGAAGGTGCAGGGACAAAACCTGTCTGAGGAAATGAGAAATGCCAATGCTTCTACAAATGCATACCAAATATCATAGACTTATAATAAGTGGTTCCCCATAAAACACAAACATTATAAAATGAATGCAAAAGTTCCAGATTTAATGAATCATGACTGAGTGGGTGGAACAATATGGACATGTGATGTGTCAATGCTTATACAAATGTATACCTAATATAAATAGATTACCATTAGTGGTTCCCCTTAAACTGACCTAGTCACAAACTTAACAAACTGTTGCTGAGACCATGTATATGATTTGTTTCTCCAATTTTGTCACAGGTGAGACAAAAAAAATGTAAATGTTTGTCAACATATAGAGAAGCAGATCCAACTACTGTCTCTTGTGCAATAGGATATTTCTACGCCCAGAATATATATTTTTAAATATAAAATTCATAAAGTCTATATAATAAAAACAACTTTTGAACTAAGTATTGCCTTTAATGCATTTTACTTGGTTAAAAATTTCCTGAAAATTGATCTGTTTGTATTTCTAACTGTATAAAGTACATGTATAATATATATGTTAAACAAATTCAATTTGTAAATGATATGTATATATCATGATGAAACATGGAATGATGCAAGAACTATAAAAAAAAATTCTAAATAAATTTTTAATTGATTTTACCACATATATATGCTTTTCCACTCATTCCAAAAAAATAAAATGTTTAAATAAAAAAAAACCAAAAATTAAACAAAAGCATACAGTATTGAGTATGAAGAAAAATGTTTGGTAGTAAGTGCATCTCAATGTAGATCAACAAAGATCAATAACCTTCTCTTATATAACAAATCAATACATCTCAGATCAACAACCGTATTTCATAATTACAACTGAAAATAGAATTCCTGTTTCATATAATAGATTAATTCATTGTATTCACTTCTATCAGATTAGATATTGCTTTTTTCCACCTATCAACAGAGGGCATCTCAATCTATTCCACTCAAGTCAGTCTCCTATCTTTAAAAACTAATTAATATTTATGCTTATTGCTTATAACAATGTATGTATATTTCTATGTCTTTTTTTGAACCAGAGAAAAAGTAGAGGAGTCTTCAATGAGTCGAGCTCTTTTCAACTGATTTGTATAGTTTGTTTTTATGTTGTGCTGTTACACCACTGTTCAAAATAAAGGGGATGGGGAGGGGGAACGCAAACATGTGATACCCCCCAACCCTCACATTAAAAATTTCTGCAACTTTGAAATTTGCAAAAAAATTACATTTCAGCAGCAATAAAATGGGTTGTCCAATTTTTCTGACAATTTCATAGGAGATAGACCATGACCTACTGATCATCTTTATTCGCCAATTTTTAGTCTTACTGCTTTAGTTTTAAAATTTAAAGCAAAAGACTGCATTTTACTTCCTTAATAAAATTAAGGAGATATAGTATGATTTCCAATGAGAAAACTATCATCCAGGTTTAAATGAAGAAGATAAAAGCATTTATATGTTCTTTTTTAGCCACAGCAGCCATGCTTGTTTTATAAAATTCTCGAATACATTTTTCAACAAGATTCCCTATGAAACATTAGGTAAAATTTGGTAACATTTGGTCCAGTAGTTTCAGAGGAGACGATTTTTTAAAGTTTATGATCATGGGCGGACTACCAGGACAAATGCCAAGTAATATAAACCATACTTTTCTGTTGTTCTTTTTATACCTGATCTTATATTCTATTGTTTTCTGAATGTTTACAAAGATTTAATAAAGAAAAAGTAAAGCAAAATAATGTAAATATTTATGCAATCAATGAGTTGGCTACTGAAACTTCAATTGAAAGTAAGAATACAGGCATTTTAAACCAAAATAAATGTTTGTATGTGTTTCAATTGACAAATTGTATTAAATTGATAAATTCCCACCTAAAGGTAGGGTGTCTTCCTCCATCTTGGATTTTAAAATAGCAAATAACAATCGGTCTAGATCTTGAATGAAATGTGCAAATTCGAGAGTATATCATGCTAATTTTAACATTGGAAGGCATTATATTTGTCAATATTTTACACCTCGCTAACGCTCGGTATAAAGATATTGACAAATATAATGCCTACCCATGTTAAAATGAGCATAAAGCATGGCATGAAAGAATTATTTCTTAAATAAAAATGGTTGAATCTTTCTGAAGTAAAACATGTGTCTTCTGCTAAAGTGATTTAAATTTCAAAGTAACTTATATAAAACAGTGAGTCATTCACTACAAAGAAAAAACTCACAGGTCATTGCAAATTCAAATCTACCCCTAGCACTGGTTAAGCATAGTTTATAAATAGACCTTAGTCAATACTAAAATAGAGGTCATCACACAACCTTCTTTCAAATTAATAGTATACTGAAACAGATTTTATCATTAAGCTTCAAACCCAAATTAAGATAAAAAAAAAAAGTTCTTAAAGTGTTCCAGGGAACACTGTCTCTTGCCTGAGATTGCTGCTGTCTGTGTCAAAGTAATATGTTGATTCCTAAAACTCAGTCATTTTTTCAGCACTTGACAGAATAAACTGCTTTGCCAAGCGCAGCTGGATACGACCGCAGAGGTCCTACCCTGAACAGTTGCAGCAAAAATGGACACAATATTCATGCTTGATACAGGTCTGAATTTGGATTGTAATTAAATATTTGACACATTATAGGTTCTGACACAGAATTAATGTAGTCAAAGAACTTAAAATTGGGTATATGATTTGAATTTATATTCAATTGAAGATTTCTTGCTTCTGTGCAATACACTGTGCTGTTGCGCAATACTTAGTAAATCTGTTTTCAAACTATATACAAAGAATTAGCAATTATGACCCCCAATTTCCAAAAATTTACCCCCCCTTTTTTTTTCCAAAAATAAATATTTGAAGAAATTTTCTTGTTAATTTCTAAAATCTTGAGAGTAAAAAATTGTTCCCCCCAAAAAATTTATTTTAACCCCTCCCCCCGCCCCCCCCCTTTCCTAAAAAAATAACATTTGAAGAAAATTTTCTTTTTCTAAATTGTGGTACATTTTAAGAGACATCAATACACTTAAACACAAGTTATTACCTGAAAACTAGAAAAATGCTTGTTTTAGACCCTTTTTGGCCCCTAATTCCTGAACGGTTTGGACAATTACCCCCAAAATGAATCCAAACCTTTGACTTGTGGTATTGAACCTTGTGGTACAATTTCAGAGCAATCAATATACGTATACACAAACTAGAAAAATGCTTGTTTTGGGCCCCTTTTTGGCCCCTAATTCCTGAACGGTTTGGACAATTACCCCCAAAATGAATCCAAACCTTTGACTTGTGGTATTGAACCTTGTGGTACAATTTCAGAGCAATCAATATACATATACACAAGTTACCGTCCTGAAACTAGAAAAATGCTTGTTTTGGGCCCCTAATTCCTATGGACCATCACCCCCAAAAACAATCCTAACATTTCTTTAGTGGTATTGAACCTTTTGGTAAAATTTCATACAGATCCATACACTTAAACTTAAGTTATTGTCCGGAAACCAAATGTCTTCGGACGACGTCAACGACACCGACATGATGGCATTATACAACCAGAAAAATTTTTTGCGGTCGTATAAAAATGAAAAACAAATTTTCAAAATTTTGATGTCATTACTGTCTTCTGACATGATATGTTTGATCATAGAATAGCTTCTGTCCAAATTTCATAAAATTCCATGAAGATTCGAAAATGTTATTGAAGTTTGAAATATTTTAACCTTAGAATGTATTTTTTTTAATGTATTAAACTGCATTGAAAACCAAATCAGTAAAATAGGGAAAAATGAAAAAAAAAAAATTCAAAATTTTACACTAGATACTGTGTATTGATCATAAAAAAGCTTCTTTCAAGTTTCTTAAAATTTCATGAATGTTTGACAAAATTTAAAAAAACTTTAACCACATATTGAACCAAAATGTTGACAATGCAAATGATGGGCAGCTGCCACCAGAATATAGGATTGCTAAATGTCTCAATTTCGTGACAAAATGTCAAAGGCTCGACAAAAAAAAAGTTAAAACCATGTTTAAATTTTTTGTGGTAATGATTTTTTTATTTTAAATTATGACACAGCTGTTCCTGTTGTAAGCTTATTATAAAAAAAGTACATGTGCATGTTTCAAACATATATATATTATAAAGAAAAGTAAAATAACACTCAAATCCAATTATATAATATATAACAAAATTGATTTTGTCAAAGGAAAAAAAAATCTTAACTTTAAATAAATCAATTTTGTGTCTAAGTTGCCCACGGAAGCAACTTAAGGGTCCTAGTACTATTTCAGAATCCAAAATTCAGAGGAAAATTTAGTGAGAAAAAAAAAACACATTATAAATAATCATATATTATCTTTCTATCTATACATGGCACAATATATAATCATTTGGACAAAGTATTTATTTAATCTTGATACCTGCATATATAATTTTATATGAACTATCTGTGTGAGGGTCTGGATAGGTGTTCTTCATTTCAGTATTCTTTAATTTTTTACGCCATGTTTCTCTTTCTTTATACATTGTGCCCATTATTCTCTATTCTTTATATTTTAGAATCTCATTATTCTCTATTCTTTATTTTTTTTGTCCATATTTCTCTATTCTTTTATTTTTTTCCCATTATTTTCTATTCTGTAAACCCCCATCCACAACCTCCTGTATTCTAAAACAATTTAATTTTCAATAGCAATTCTTTTAATTCCTTGGTTACATATTTCCGTTGATTTTCTTTTCTATTTTTTTTATATTACAAATAATAAAATTAAAATAATTAAAATTGACAACAACACTTCAAAGAGTCTGCAATATTAAGCTGGTGGACATGTTCTGCCTGCCAGGCAGACATCATCAGGACAATTTACATACAGAAATTAATTACTGAAGTATTAAAAGTGGTACATTAAATCAGATGTCACAATGTGTGTTGTCCAGATGAGAGAAACAATGAGAAGTGAAAGTAAAATGTTATAAATAGATAAGATTAATATAGAAAAATAAATAAAATTTGTTCAAAATTTAACTTGAGTTTGTTTTTAGAGAAATACTAAAGTTGTTTGTATTTCTTTTCTGTAAATTTAAATATGTTGATGAATACTGTTATTTATTTCAATATGTTTAAATGTATCAACATACCATTAGACATAACATCATGTTGCGACACACAAGGTGAATCTATTCAATATCCCATGATAAAGATAAAATTTTGGGAGAAGACTTTATAAGTTTGATCAATTTGTGTCTAGTATTAACAAAATATGTTAAAAAAAAACCTATATAACAAAAAACCCTGAGGATTACACCAATTGAATATGTAAAACTAGAAAATAACAAAATTTTAATATACCTCTTTTACAAGGTACTGTTAAACCAGATATTGAGTTTGCTGTGAGCTTCAAATTAACAAGATACCAAAATATTTGTTTAGTTTTGTTATAAACAGCCAAGACATTTTCCAAGAAGTAATACTCAGCTGAAAAAAATATATTTCTGCACAATTATTTTTGAGGTATAGACATTGAACAGTTTAGAGGGGAAACTGGTGTTATTGCTTTTTTCTAAAAACTATCCTCTGAAGGTTTTTGGTAAAAATCATGATAAATTTTTCATGTGAGTTTCATGTAAATCTCCATTCATGTGAAATTCACATGAGTTTCTCATATTAGCTTGTTTGAGGTGAATTTCATGTGAGCAAAATTTGCCTGAGTAGAAAGAGATTGCAATGATATAAAATATATGTCATTGATGTTGCCTGGGAAATAGGAAAATAGCAATAAACAGATTATTTATATTTTTTGATACCCCATATTTTTTCTTGTCCTAATCTCATCTCAAAGCTGTCACCTTTCCATAAGGATGAAAAAACAGAAACATGTTTAAAAAAAACATGAATAATCTAAAATTATCAAGATTTTTCATATATATTGAAATGAGATATTTTCATTGTTAAAATCGTTTTAGAAATAATAAGGATTTCAAATTTTTCAAGGGTGTAGCTTAAAATGTGTTTTAACTAAACTAATTAATGAAAAGTGGGTTTTTTTCTTAAATTTTCAGATACTATTACATAGTAAAATCCAGAGGAGTTCCAAATACCAGAAACACAACGGCCAACATGACCAGCTAACATCCTTAATCCAATGTTTTAACTAACAGCAAAAATGTGATAAGATGAATTTGGCAATAATTAAAACCCATATTTTAATTTCTAATTGCAATATTGCAATAAAATTTATACAGGAATTGCACTAACCAAAGTCTAACATTCTTGTCAGTTGTCGGAGATTTGAAATAATAAATGCATGCATTAAAATCAGAATAAAATTTTACTGTTAGGGAGCTACCATTTAATTTTTATGGGGGGGCTAGGATGAAAAATTTTGTCCTGCTTTTTTTTTTTAGTTGTAATCTCTGTCCTGCTTTTTTATTTTTTACTCTATTCGGTCCTGCCTTTTTTTTACTAGTTTATCCTGAATTTTTTTACACAAATTGTCATCCTGCCTTTTTTTTTTACCAAGTTGCTCATCCTGAATTTTTTTTTACTCAAAACTCCTGTCCTGCCTATTTTTTTCAAATTTCATCCTAGCCCCCCCCCCCCCCCCCCCCCCCCCCTAAAAATCAAATGGTAGCTCCCTTATTTCAATCACCTAAATTTAAACTTAAAAGATTACTGAGGACAATGTTATGACAATGCTAGCTCACCAACCAATACAAAAATAAATTTGAATATGGCTTTCATATACATAATGATATGAACACAACTGGTAAAAGAAAATTACAACAAAAAACAACAACAAAGCACCTTAGTCTTTACATGGTAATGCTGCATTTTCACAACCTATTGCATAAATATTTAGTAATACGGTATAAACAGTTTTTGGGTATATAAGTTAAATATCAACAGTGTATTAAGCATTCTTTTATGAAAATCCATTGAAAAATTTAAAAACATTATACTGTCATGACTGTGGGTTCTTTAATTTCCATCGACCCTAATTTTCGTTGATATTTGATTATGCGATTTTTGCCGATTCCCCATGCCTATAGAAAATTTGTACTTCCTTTACAAAAATTGGTATCCAATGAATAATCAACTGTTGACACAGAGATGTCTCGCCTGCCCGCATAAAATTCAGAAAAAAGACAATCTGATAGACAGCAACATAGCTAATTAATTTAAAGTCGCTCGACAATTAACTAGTGAGCAGGGCCTCGAAATGGTTGACAAACTGAGATGTAGATGGCAATGTAGCTTTATAGAAAATATTGTTGTCTATTGTAAGTAGTTCCTATCAAACTAGCTTAAGCAGAAAACTTAACATTTAAAATTGCTAATTAATTCAAAGTCACTAAACTTAGGGAGCAGGGCCTAAAAATAGTCATCAAACTGATATGTACTGATAGTAATGCAAATTTATACAAAATATCACTGATCTATCACAAGTAATTCCTTTCAAACTAGCTTAAGCAGAAAACAATTGTTGATGCCGTCGTCACCAGAAAAGCAATCCCTATGTCTCGCTTTCAGCGACTTTCTACGCAGGCAAGACAAAAAAACATAGTATTAAAAAATACAGAATTTCCAACTATGCATGCTCAAATACACTAACTGATGTACTATGCTCAAATACACTAACTGATGTACTACATCTGTTGACAACAAAACCTGTTTGTAGCACCTGTTCAAATTCATTATCACATGTGTTTGTTCTACTTGTATTTTTTAAATACATTAACCAACTGTGCTACTTGTTTTATTTTTCACATGTGTTCACAATAGAACTTCAATAATTGTTATATCAGTTACTATAAAAAAAAAAAGACAAGCTATAACCTTGTGTCACATGAAAAAAAAAAGACATAAAAACATTTGTATGAATTCTTCCATTATGAACAGGTCAATTGTATTTATAATGATCCCAAAATGATATACTGTCAGACAGTGTCTCCATGAAAATGTTTCCAATAGATACTACATATTAATCATGTTAGGATAAACTATTACTCACATATCATCTTTGATTTAAATTGTGTTTGCATTAAGTGTGTTTCATCAAATATTGTCAATTCAGAAATTATTGCAAGTTTTTTTTTTATTAGAACGAATAATGCAGCTGGCTTATTATGGCAATAATAAGACCACACATTCTGATATCTGACATGTATAGTTATGTATGCAACTTTTCCTTAAAACGCAATAATTTATCTCAACTTTTAGTTGGTCAGGTCAAAATCCCAATAATAAATGCCCACAATAATTTCGGAATTTACAGTAGTAATATCTTGGTTTGTTTTGTCATCTGGATAGAATTCTGCTGATGTATTATTTATAGAAAAACTAATCGCAGATTTCAAATATAGAAAAATATTCAAAAAGTGAACAACAACACATTCATTCACGAATGTGCATAGCGCATGAGTTAATTATCAGTGTTGTGCAGTCATTCTTTTTATTACATTGACAATGGGCTTTTTAATGGAAATAAAGTTCACAATTTGTTTTGATGTAATGTCATCGACAATGTCTTGACAATTCCTGATGTTGTATGATGTCAGAGGAGCGAAATTATCGGTTTATATTTAACTGGGAAATCACGGTAATTCATTGCAACCAATGTAATAATAATACATAAAGGAAAGGAAAGTCATTGTATCTTTATTTTTTTCTGCCATTTTACTCTTTTGCCCATTATTCACTATTCTTTATATTTCAGCACCCCATTATTCTCTTTTCTTTATTTTCTTGGCGTATTATTCTCTATTCTGTAAATTTCACCCAGACCCCCAATAATGTTCTAATTTGTAGAAAGTCAATAGGATATTTTGTTCTCAGGACAAGTCTAATATAAACATTTATCTGTTGTAAACACCTTAAATATATGAATGCCAAATGAAACACAACTCTTTATGTATTTTCCTTTTAATGAATAATTTAAGCCTACAGATCTGCTTTAGCAGTTGACAAATTATTCTTAGATTTGTAATACTTTTTATGATATCACAGTCAAACGACAGAAAATTTCCAGGAAAAAACATTTAAATTTTAACGTTTACAAATTCAAACTTTTAACAAAAAGTTGAAATTTACATTATGGATGGCAAAGTTTACCACAATGCACCCCTTTTGGATGAAAATTTGTGAGTTTTGACTAAGGGATTAATTGTAAACTTATGAATTGCAACCCCAACTGTTTGAGTAACATTTAGCCAACTGATGTTGTTAAAAAAACAGCTGAGAAAGTTTCATAAAAGCTCAGATATCAGACAGGAAACCATATAAACACAAATGCTTGGCCTCATCTTTTATTGTTACATTTTACCATCATAAAAACCACATAACATGAGAACAAGTCCCTCCAACAACCTAAGAAATAATAATTCATCTAAAAAAAATCCCAACAATTTACAATTAAGATCACAGCTCATCCTTTAATTTATCACCATTCTGATTTTCTTTTTTCTTTTCAGATTTTTTATCTTTCTTTGTTTTTTCTTTACTGGTCTCTCTTTTCTTTCCTTTTGACAGTTCCTTTGCACAATAATTAGAAATGATTTGGTCTGCAGCTCTTATACCAGACAAATAAGCTCCGTGAGCTGTGTTCATGTGTTCTAATGATGTATATTCACCGGCAAAATAAATATAAGGACATACAGGTTTTGTTAATGAATCAAACATTTCTGGTAAAATACCTGAAAAATAAAATAATGTTAAATATGTTGTCATGTTACATAGTACAAATGTTTAGATTGCTGTTTAAAGTCTAGTGGCAAATTGTATTCATATTCAAGATGAGAACATTTCCATGCAATAGGCATGATAGGAATGCTAACCCCTGATTTGTACTAGACTGACATACGGAGCAGAATTTTAATGTGCCAGTTCACAAGGTAACAGGGAAGAGAGACATGTCTTTCAACATAGAAACATTATTCTGACTCCAAGCTGACCAGTCTTGGCTCTTACTCCTTAATGCCCTGTGCTTAGTGGAGAAGCAGCAAATTCAAATTTTAAAGTCTTCAGATTGAACCAACAACCTCCCGCACTCTAGCCAATATGCTTCCAAAAAGTATAATAAACGAAATAGAAAAACCTAGTGTCTGTCTGTATCTTCGTTATGGTTGAGAATATATGTTCATAATTTTGGTCTGTTGAGGCAGACTTGGTAGTGTGGTGAGTTTGGAGATATTCAAATAAGTATTGCTTTAAAACGTCATTCATGCCACCACGGTCATATTTAAGTCTCTATTGCAGACTTTGCAGAAGGCATGTATTATCCTTAGCCTAAGTAAACCAGTCACTGAATTTAACACGAATATATTTGTCTTCTATGTTTTTACGTAGGGACATAAGCAATAGGTTTTTCTTCTTAGACCCTATATTAACCATTTTGCAAGTGATAATTCATCAACCATGATCATGATTTTACAATTGTAACACACAAGACTAGGATAAACAACTCTAAATTCCTAACATGCTTCAAATCTAAATTGTGTACAATGCTGGCTTGTATCAGGCATGAACATTGATTTTTAATGGCTATTTATAAAGACTAACCATTTTCTCCACAGGAAAAAGTTTAAGATGGTATTGTTGATGCAATACTATAATTTCTAGAACCAAGATTGTATTTCCTATTTACCAGGATGCTTTATGAGATTTGTTTGGAGAAAACTTTAGAGTAAAAACAGAATTTGTATTAAGTGGTCCTGGCCTGTTCTCAGTGGTGCACTCCAATATGTTATATCATGTATAATACTGTAAACCAACTTATTTTCGCACATACTTTATTTCGCGTTAAGATCTAGCCATCTTCGTGGCGATTTATTTTTGGCAATCTACTTAATTTCATTATATATTTTCATATAAGGGAAAATCCAAGTTTCATATATTCGCAACGATTTAAATTTGCATTATTTTCCTACTCGCGAAAGTCGCGAAAATAAATCGCTCGCGAAAATTAGTTGGTATACAGTATTATATAATATAGTGATGTAACATCACATTAATTAATTATCTAGAAACTTTTTTTTCATAAAATAGAATATTTATTATTATATGGTCTACTGATTTTTCGTGTAACAAATACTGAATTTATTTCAATTTATAGAACACATTGGACTTTTTTAGCCTTCTGCTTCCCAGGCACTTGTTTAATAACAAACAGAGATCCTAAGTCTGCATCCTGGGCAACTCAGGAAATTGTAAACAGGACAATCTTGGAATAAACAAGTATCTATTAAAAATAAATGGAAAATGTGTACATGGGGCACGGATGATGCCCCCGCTTGCATATAAAGTTATGAAGGGACATCTCAAGAACGGTAAAAGTGATGCCACCCAAATTCGAACTTGATCTGAGTATGTGGTAATAAGAATTGTGTATAAGTTTCATAACATTTGGTTGAGGCAAACTAAAGTTAGAAAACAGAAACTAATTTTGTGACGTTCGAACGTACATACAAACGGACAAGGGTAACACTTAATGCTCCCTTCACTGCAGCGGGGGCATAAAAGTAACTACTTAAACTGTACTTACCAACTTTAGGATATGAAGTAGTTCCCAACACTTTGTTGTCTGATATCCACTTTGATTTTGTTACAATGGTAATTGTGATATCTTTCATTTTTTCTTCACCAAATAATTTTGTTAAAATATTTATCGCTGAAAAATAGAAAGGGGATATTACACACTTTTCCTTTATATATTACCTCTTACAAAGTAAGATATTTTAACTCCTTAGTTAACTACAAGCAATATAAACTAAAAAAAAATATTGGAGGATTTCCTCAGTAATGAATCAATCATTTGAAACAATGACAGCAATGACTCTGTGGTCAAATGAGGGCTTCCGACCCATGACAGAATAAAAAAATAGCATGAGGTTAATTTTGTACCTTTACACAAAATAATGAAAAAAAAAAAAAAAAAATAAGAATATACGAGTACATAAGACACCATGGCCTGCTTACACTATCATTAGTTTAGTGAACCACAAAATCTAGGTCAAAATTGTCATATATAGTAAACAGTTCACTTCAGTTTCATGTTGATGCGACCAAAAACTATTTAAAACCAGAACTTTAAGCTGATACACAACAGGCAGACAAACTAGTTTAACCCAGCCACATTCTGGATGTGCCTGTCCCAAGTCAGGAGCCTGTACCAGATAAATATATAGTTTTACAGTACTTTCAATTGATATTTATTTTTTGACATTCAGCTTGCTGCATCTTAGGCAATATATAACGACAAACTCTGAATTCACAATTGATTGGTTTTGGGAACATCCAAAACACAGCTATGAATATTTTTGTTTACAAACTAAGATCTTAACATACCATTTTCTTTGATTTCATTGTCTGTCATATTTTCAAACCTGACAGCAGCTTTATCATGTAACATGCCCATCAGTAATGGTTTGTTGACATAGCGATGTAAATTGACCCAAGTTTGAAGCATGCCCATGTCGTCCTGGTAACTGGTTACCATGGTAAATATACCTATATCTTCTGGCCAAAATACTTTGTTGAACTGTAAGACTAGTTTATTACTAAATCCAATTCCTGGAAAATAATAAGAACCATATATTTATTTAACATTCATACAGAGATATTTGATAGTATAATGTAAACAATGCAAAACATTCAAAGTCAATAGACCATGACTGATGGGGCAAGGTCAAATGATCTCCATGGAAATGAGATGTGCTATTAAATGCTAATACATCTGCATACAAAATATCATGATCTACCACTAGTGGTTTCCCCAAACTGACCAAATCACAAACTAATACATGTAAACTAAGCAAAAGTTTCAAAGTCAATAGACCATGAGTGAGAGGGGAGGCAAATAATCTCCATGGAAATATGACATGTGCCAATGCTTATACAACTGCATAACAAATATCATTGACCTACCAGGAGTGGTTCCCCATAAACTGATCTAATCACAAACTAATACATTGCTGACGCTGACAACACACCTAAGTCTCAATTTTTCAACTTCGTCAACGCGAGACAAAAAATGTGACATTGCAACGTTTTCATTGGCTATTTGTAAGTTTATTAATGACTATCAAAAGTGAAAGCCATGTACATTTCCTTCATGGCAAGGGAGATATGGGATTTCTTCAATAATGCACAAAATAGTCACACTTTCCATCTCAAAATCTTCATTTTGTCAATTTTTTTTACATTATGAAGCCTGATGTTAAAGTTTGAAGCTGAGACAGGACATAATACATCAAACAAGTATGTGCAAAAGACTTGTTCAAGTCGCAGAAATTTCTATTTAACACAAAGAGAACATTTACCATAAGAGAAATCGTTTTAACAACTTCTTGATATTTATTCTCTATCTGTGTTAGCAGTAGTCAAAAAATGTCAATAGCCAAAGTGGCTAATAACTATTTTTTTCGCTTAGCCACAACTTGTGTGTCACAGGTGAGGATCACGAAGTGATCCGAACCTGCTAGGGGGCAATGGGGGCATGCCCCCCCTTGAAAATTTTGGAAAATTAGATGTGAAATCCTGCATTCTGAGGTTACATTTTTGTAACTGGAAGTGTATATAAAATGTTGTTTTTTTCTCCAGGTCAGATGTCCGTTTTACTTTTATTTTGTTGAGTCTGTCAGATTTTTAAAATATGATGACAATGTCCCTTGAAGTTTTCGTTTTCTTGCTTCGTTCGGGCCGAGGACCTTTACAGGGAAAACGGTACTATTACATTTTCCCAGCATTAGGTTGGCCTTTTGTGTACCCAAGGCAGGTGAAGGAAGTCAAATTAGGAGCGCTGTAATTGGATGTAAGGGTACAATATATTTTTTTATTTATCTATGAATAAATGCAGTGTGTATATTTACAATATAAATTTTAAAACCTATTGAAATATTTTCTAGAGAATTATTCGAAAAGGCTTCCAAAATTTCATAAATTTAGTGTAAAATGACTGTGGGCATGGATAACATAAACAAGCTCCGTTGGAAATTGGTCATGATACTATTTGGCTTCAATTTTTAAAATAGAATAATAAAGTTCTAACACCACACATAACTGTTTTATCGGGGTTTTTATTATAAAAAGTGGTAAATTTAGAAAATGTTTGTATTGTCGCCTATGGCAGAATAAATAGTACCGTTTTCCCTACAAGGTTCGTCGGCCATGTTAAAAACATTAAAAAGTAAAAGAAAACCCGATATCGGAAACGGATTTTCCCGCCCAGAACCGTTAAGTGTGGAAGTTTTTTTTTCCGGATATGACTAAAAAGACCCGTTTTTGTGTTTGTTTTTGCAAATTACTTTTGTTAACATCTTTTCAGCTAAATGTTTGTTCGAATCAACGCTTCTGGCTTGAAATTTGACAAAGATTTTTTTCCGTTCATATAAATTTTCGTTCGCCAAAGTGGCGATTGCAACTGAATTTTTATTAGCCACATAATAAAATCATTCGCCCATGGCGAGTGTGGCGACCTTTACCGCTAACACAGTCTATTTAATTTGAATAGAGATAATAAAGTCGCAAAAGGTTCATTTTTAATTATATTAAAACTAAATAGCTCAAGTTGATATCAAGCGTTATTCCCGATAAAAAATTCTCATTTGTTATGAAACCTTTAATTTCAAAGTTTTATTTGTAAATATTAATGATACTATAATATTACCGATACTTTCTATAGTTTTCTTCCATCCTTTAGGTAAGGGAGGATCAAATATTACTGTTTCTGTCTTCAATACTCCTAAAGGTAGGGCAACCACCACAGCATCAGCCTCATACTGTTTCAGATCTCTGGTTCTTACCAAAACTTTGTTCCTTGTCTTGTTCACCTCTATCTGTCTCACTGGTTTCCTTAGCTCTACAGATACTGTACTCTCCTTTCTTTGTCCTCCTACAAGGCTAAAACAGTATTATAAATAGTTCTACATTTTTCTTACATCGACTACCCATAGGTGTTTTAACTAAAAATTCGTAAGGGTTCCGCGGAACCCAGTGTCTCGCCTACTTTTGCTGTTAATCGCAGGCTCAACAAAAATGAGGAAAAAAATTAATAAAAATATTCCTCTCTATAATATCTTTTGATTGTAAGTAGCTTCTGTCCAAGTTTGGTAAAAATCCAGGATAGTTTATGAATCTAATAAATGTTTTAAAAACTTAAAGTGCAGACTGTATGTAATCTTAACTGGAAGAAAACCTAAGTCCATTTATAAGTAAAATACGGAAAAAATGGAATTTTTTTTTACTTTTTTACAAAATTTACTTCTGGATACTATCTTCTGATCATAAACAAGCTTCTTTCCAAGTTTTGTAGAAATCCAGGATAGTTTAAGAAAGTTATTAAAATTTCAAAAACTTTAACCACAGAGTGAATGTAATGTTTCATGGCAGAAAAACTAAGTCCATTTATAAGTAAAATACGGAAAAAATGGAATTTTTTTTTTACAAAATTTACTTCTGGATACTATCTTTTGATCATAAACAAGCTTCTTTCCAAGTTTGGTAGAAATCCAGGATAGTTTAAGAAAGTTATTAAAATTTCAAAAACTTTAACCACAGAGTGAATATTTGTGGACGCCGCCGACGACGACGGAATGTAGGATCGCTATGTCTCGCTTTTTCGACAAAAGTCGAAGGCTCGACAAAAATGAGCTGTGTCCATCTAAAGCTATAAAGCACTACTGTATTTTTAGAAATTATTGCGATTTTTGAAAAATGGACATAAATGCGAGATCAATTATTACGATTTCAATAAAAGTTGTATACAGATATCAGAATGTGAGGTCTTATTATTGCGATACTCACCCAGTCGTATTATTGGCATTAATAAAAACCTCGCAATAATTTCTGAATTTACAGTATTTGAATGGTATTATGAGTTTAGTCATATCAATTATGCATAAAAAGTAAAAAGTTGAAGACACATGCATGAACCTAGAGGCATTAGAAAATTTGCTAAAGTTTGAAAAAAAGCTTGCAATTATAGTTCTAATTCATTTTTATAGGGCTGTTGAATGCATGGGAATATGAACAGCCCTAAATATCGGGTTTCAGGTCTTATGTTTGACCCTGCCAGGGATTTAAGATTGAAAAAGCCTACATTTCCAGTGGTGAATTCACAAGCCTGAAAATGAGTGGCTTAGAGCACAAACTAGTCAGGGAAATCTGTATTCATGAACCATTAAGTAAATTAGGTGCTATTTTAAATACATTGGTTTAAAAAAATCTTTAACCACAAATATAATCAAAGTGCTGGATAGCACCTGTGGAAAGTTTGCAACGGTAGATGTGTAATATTTCAAATAGGTTGTTGTTGTTAATGTGTAGATTGGGTGTTTAACTTTTTATCCGACTTTAAAAAAAAATTACTTAATACAAGAAATAATTGTAACATGATGCTGTTACGAAGTCTCCCAAACAAAGCTCACATAATTAGTCATTCCCAGGAAGGGGGTGGGAGTGACCCCAGGGGATTCACCTTTTATTTCATTTGATTTGTTTTATTGTCCCGTACAAGAATATATATGGTTTTGGGGTGGGGATCTTGACCGTTTACAAGTTCTCAAAACAGGATGGGGTGGGGGTGACACCCAGGGACTCCCCCTATATTTCATTTGACTTGTTTTATTGTCCTATACAAGAATATATATGGTTTAGGGGTGGGGATCTCGACCGTTTACAAGTTTTCAAAAAAAGGGGGGTGGGGTGACCCCTGTGGACTTCCTCTATATTTCATTTGATTTGTTTTATTGTCCCATTCAAGAATATATATGGTTTATGGGTGGGGATCTCGACTGTTTACAAGTTCTTAAACAGGAAAGGGGTGGGAGTGACCCCAGGGGACTCGCCTTTTATTTCATTTGATTTGTTTTATTGTCCCATACAAGAATATATATGGTTTCAGGGTGGGGATCTTGACTGTTTACAAGTTCTCAAAACAGGATAGGGTGGGGGTGACACCAAGGGACTCCCCATATATATCATTCGACTTGTTTTATTGTCCCATACAAGAATATATATGGTTTAGGGGTGGGGATCTCAACTGTTTACAAGTGCTCAAACAGGTGGTGTGGGGCTGATCCAGAGGGACTCCTGCTATATTTCATTTAATTTGTTTTATGATCTTGTGATCATTACTGAAAACTGTGTGTGTCTATCACTTACTGTTTTCAAGTTAAAGTCATTTGAAAATTAAAAAAAAATAAATCCCATAGGGTTCTATAGTAAATCCCTCCCTTCTGTTGGCCCCTCAAAATACCCCTAAATAGACCTCAAGAAGAAAAATAAGAAGAACTGAGCAAAACAATAAGTCTCCAAACTTTGTTTGGGAGACTTAATAGCAAGTAGCTATATATAGTATAATTACGAATTTTGTTATAGTCCGATTTTCTGATGCCGATTATGAAATAGGCCGAGTTTATTATAGTCAGAGTTTGTTGTGGGCCGAGATGAGATACCGGGATACTTTCGATACACTCTGGCTTTTACGTCTTTAATAAACATTGTAAAAATCGTAGTAAGCGTCGAAAAATGTTCATTCATGAAATATTTTAAACACGGTATTCATTTTCTCTTCAACCGGAGGACAGGAGGAAACCCCTGAAACCAGGATTATAGTACTCCCGTTGATATGGATCTCACGCATGTCTGGGGAATACCGATAAAAACATAACATAGAAACTGCTGTCTCGTGTAGATGTGTTTTGATTTTACTTTCCGCGCAGGGCAGATCTGCGAAGAAGTGTTTGTGATAGCCATTTTCAAAAAATGAAATTGAATTATTTGAATTATCGATGAACATTCAGTACATTTTAATTCAAACTGTAAGCTAATCAAAATAGAAGTAACTCAAAATTTCAAAAGCATCTTCCTAGAATTAGTTGTCAAACACCAGTACTACATTATCTAGGAGTAGAACACACATCCTAAAGTAAGATAGTCTGTCACTTCTGGTTTGAGGCCGATGCCTAAGAAAAGTTTTTGCTATAGCAAGCTATAGCAAACTTTCCAAAAAATTACAAAATTTTGTCCTGTGGATTCCTTATCATTTGTTGGATACTAATCTTCATGGATATCATGAACCACAAATTTAAATGTTAAACGAAGTATACAGTTTCATATATAATTTTGAAAGGGCACAAAATCAAATATCTACCAAAAAACTGAATTTTTCCTCAATCCACAAAAATTGGTACCCATGAAATATAAGTGAATTCACAGAAACAAAATACATGTTTTGTCACACACACTTACATGTCAACAATCTGATCAAAGCCATCAATAACACCTGTATCCCAACCAAATTCTTTTTTAGGATCGAACAGTTGTGTGGAGTGACCAGATAGAGACATTGTGTAATGTGATTCCAATACAGACGACAGCAAAGTTTTGTCAGCAACCGTCTCTTCATCTCGTAAAACACTTTGTATGGCTTTCTTTAAATCCAGGTCTTTTCCGCTGTCTGCTGCTTTTTTCAAGGCTTGCAGAGTTATCTGAAATGAAAATACAGAAATCTGAAGTAAGAGTCATAAAGGGGGTGTGTGCATGGACAAATAGGAAATAAAATGGTCATATTACAATGAATGTTATTGTTTTGTCAAAATTCAGCCCGTTGGTTATTTAGTTTTAAATTTTTTCACATTTTGTCAGGTCCAGACCTTTTACAGCTGACTATATGGTATGGGTTTTGCTCATTGTTGAAGGCCCTAGTCATTTAGTCCCTATACTATATATGCTTTGACTGCACATAGAACACAATGTAGAAGATTCATACAATTTTCAAAATAAAGAATATGAAGAATATAGCTAAAGATGCTAAATATTAATAGTACATATTTTCAAATTTGCCGTTCAGCTGTATCATTGATGACAACAAAGAAATCGTTAATAATATTTAATTCTTTTACTTCACGTAAATCACTTATAACCATGATGGCTACAATTTAAATTATTTTATGCATTTTTTCTACAGATTATGGATTTATCTCCCCTTGTTCAATTCCATAAATATGTATATCCCTACGCACAGGATCATAGGTTATAATTGTTATCCTTAGTTTGTATGTCATTACTACTGCATTCTCTTGATTCTATAAATTTATATCATGGAGGAGTAGCAAATAAAGTAACAAATAAAGTAACAAATAAACGCTTTTGAGATGAGCAATATTATTTATCCTTTTAACACAGTATTTTGATAAGATTTTATCCAGTTGTTCATTGTTTACATACATTTAACTAGTGTTGCTTTTTTTAATTCTCTTACACCAAAAATTAACAAATATCTTAGCTCTTAGCTATATATGAAAATTAATATTCAATACTGGTACATATAACATATAAAGACAAGCTAATAGCAAATAAAAGTGATGGTTATTCTTTGTCAACCCTGATCTTGCCTCATACAACATGAACTGGTACTAAAATGTTTAAAATTGATTTGATTTTATTATATCTTTACCATAAAAATAAATAGGTAATGCTGAAACACATAATGAACCGATCCTGACGATGGATTATCACCAGGCGTTGTTAATTATGTGTTTTGACATTACGTACCTTTTATTTTCCCCCGATGATACACCTAATTAATATGGCTCTAACAAATGAAAGCTCCATTGGAGCTGTTGTGTTTAGAGTCCTCTTTATTTCATTTTTTTTCTCTATTACTCATAATACCTTAACCATACTTTATAAAATTCTGTAAATATTTTGTTGGCATCATCCCCTGTATAAACTTGTCCCTTCTCTGGAAAGTGGAGTTGGACACTTCCTGCGGATTTAACTTCTAGTTCCCCGTCAGATACTATCTTGGCCAATGGGTTGTCTTTTACCATGGAGTTCAACCAGTTAGCACCTAAATCTACTTCCATTCCTGAAATAAAGGAGGTAATACTTGTCAATTGTATCTTTTAGCCAAGTGTAAAACAAGTTACTGTGGATTCATTATTATTCGTTGGATACCAATTTTCGTGGATTTCGTGGGTACAGGTGAACCACGAAATTAAATGTTCAACGAATACTAAATTTTCTATAGGTTTGTATGCAGACTTCGGCAAAACCACGAAATTAAATATCCACGAACATGTAAGTTTTCCTTAATCCACGAAAATTGGTACCCACGAAAATAAATGAATCCACAGTAGTTATTATTACTGTGAATAATGTTTTTCATATGAATTTCATACGATTTGCATAATTAGGAATCCTTTACTATGATTGGTTTTAAGCGCTTTGGTGTTGATATTTTTGGTAGTTTCTTTTTTACAATAGATCATGTTCACTGGACTACTTTTATAACCAGTATGGAATTTATGGGGACTAGAATTCATATAACACGTTCAAAACATTCTTTCGAAGAAAATCATTATCTAAAATTGATGGTTGTGAAAATAAATTAAACTAAAAGAATTAAAATAATTAAATGCATTTTTCCAATTTTTTTTTTATGCATAAACTGGACCAATTCATGTGATGATCATGATGATGTCAATCTAAAACTTAAAATTCTGACTTTTATTCTTTTGTGAGTGATAAATTTTACATACATGTATATTTGTAATTTATACACAAAAAATTAATTTAAAAAGAAATTAAGTGTGACTTGCATAGTGAATAGGAAACACTGCATCAGTTGTTTAAAAAAAAAATAGTATGAAAAAGGATAACAGGAATCATCAAACTAAACCAGCAAATTCTGTTGTTGTTTAAACACATTTTGAATGGTAGTTCCTTGGTTGCTATTTTTAGATTTTTGTTTTCTTTTGTTTTTAACATGTTTAAATTCATATAGACATTTATACTGCACTCGTTCTATTTGAGCAGTCAAAATGCGTTGACTGTATATTGCTATGTCATATACAGTCACTGACCCGATATCACTTTTCCTCATGAATATTTAAATAGAAAGTTGCCGAAACTATATTTAATTATTCATACGACCTCTTCAACCTGTTCTCGTTTCCAATGTATACAATGAAGCGTGGAACGACCCAAACTTATTTCTTTTACAATTTTTGGAAAAACATATTTCACTTGTTAATATTTTTTGTTTGAAACCTATAAATCATTATGTTTTATGCTTATTGTTGATATTTTAGTCCATACTCAAACGAATTCGTTCACCATTGATTGCGGGTTTCAACAGGTAATGTACATTTCATTGCGTTGTCTATTTCTCCGCCTGATACCGGTATAAGGCCTTTTTAAAGGGGGATGTTTCCAATATTTAAATCAAATAAATAACATTTACACATTGAACAACAATTGAAAATGTTTTTTTTTCTAGATTGCAGTATAAAGACAATAATAGTGCATTGACTTGACATATCAACGATATAAGGATTCGGCCCGAAACGGGGAAAAAGCTCGGCAGAGCCTCGCATTTCCCCGTTTCTAAGCCTCATCCTTATATCGTTGATATGTCAAGTCAATGCACTATTATTGTCAATATAGAAGACAACGTATACGGTATATCATATGTATATTTTCTAGACTTGTGAACTGCTCATATTTCATATGTATTTAGTTTCTTTTCAAACTCAAATTTCAAAGTCAAGCACAGACATGACAGACAGCACAGGCTTGTACTATATTGACTTGTTAAAACCAATCTGAAATTTTTAGTAACCATGGTAACAGATGATTTAGGCTTCAAGTTTGGGTGATGACTAACATTAAAACCCAACTAAATATTATCATGATTATTGCTTTACACATATATACATTCATGGTCCTACATTCTGTAGATGCCTGTATCATGTGTATTTTGGCATTGCACAAGGTCATTTTTTTCTCAGACTATTAATGACGTCTTTAACTAAATCCATTGGATGTGTACTGATTGATATTTTAGTCTTAGATATATCCAAATCATTACAATGTTTTAAGTTTACAGACTATTTAACAACATAATAAAAGAAACCTTAAACAGTGATTAATTTGGTAATTCCTTTCTTATAACATACATGACTTACCTCTTGCCAATTTAAATGATGAACGATCAGTAAAAATCCTGCCTCCATACCTCTCCCTCCTGGCCTCTAAGACATTGACAGCATACTGACCCGTATTTTGTAACTTCCTAGCGGCAGCAAGACCAGCGATACCACCTCCAACAATAATCACTTGCTTTTGTAACCCTTCATTGCTGGAGTTATCTCCCATTACAACAGCAACTATGCTAATCTTTATTATCAATACCATACATTTCTTGCAATCTGAAGTTAAAAAATAACATAATGAACAACAAATGAGTAGATGATCAGTTTTGTATTTGTCATGTTTGTTCTTAAAACTGTTTTGTACCTTCAAATTCATTATGATTGTACAAAACTGTAAAAAATGTTGACAGAAAAATACATGTTTGTCTTGCCTGTATTTAATTTTGAGAACTAAAATGTTGAGATTATGATGGCAATTTTTTAACATGTAAACCTCTTTGTTAACAAATATGCCAAACATTCAAATTCAATGAACCATGACTGAAGGGCAGCGCCAAATAATCTCCCCAGAAAGAGATAGGCAAATGCTAATACAAACTTACACAAAATACCATTGACTTACAATGAGTGGTTCACCTTAAACTGACCTAAACACAAACTTTGACATTTAATATAGGTAAAAATTTTATAGTTGACAGATCATGACTGAAGGGGTTGGGCAAAACAATCTCCTTCAAATGAGCTGTGCCATACTACATTGTAATGCAACTGCATACCAAGTATCATTGACTTCTCATTAGTTGTTCTCCTTAATTATAAGGTCAAGTTACAGTAAATGGACTATGTCACAGATTTTCTCAAAATTTTGCATACAACTTTGGCTCGATGAGTCTTAACTGAAAATTGAAAAAATAATGCATTTACCTTTTTTATTTTCAGAAATATTACTAAATGAATTCTTTCAAAATAGGTGCACATTTGTATAGAAAGCACATAAAATTAGCTAAAAACGTTCTTAAATTTGTCTTAAAATCATCAAATTTCCAATTTTTAATACATAGATTTTTCTGTCCTTTCCTCAATTTAGATATTTCAGTCTGTTGTGACGTTTTTGATTTCAATGAACGTAATCTATGTATTACTGATAAATTATTAAGTCAGGGATTTCGTTACCACAAATTATTTTAAACCTTTACTAAATTCTTCCATAGATATAAAGATTTTTATCGATCCTTTAAATAAACTTATTCTAAAAGGTTACCAATTCAACACTGTAATTAGATCTTTGAATATTGTTTTTATCTGTATTAATATTGATTTTGTTATCAGTAAATTAAAATCAAACTAAATATTATTATTATATACATATGCACATTCATGGCTCTACAATCTGTCAATACCTGTATCTTGGCATTGCACAAGGTCATGTTTTTACCTGACTGTTTATGACGTCTTTACACTAAATCCATTGGATGTTGGATGTGTACTGATTGATAATTTAGTCTTAGATGCATAATTTCTTTTTTCTTAGTTGTTATTGGCTTTGAACTAGTAACTGCGAGTACTCTCAGATCTGTACTTAGTGCCTTTTTGTTATGGTAATGTTGTAAGTACCCATCCACGTCCACTATGTGTTTTTGTTATATGTATTTCTATTTGTATCCATCTGATGAGTTAAGCCTTTTTCAACTGATTTTTATAGTTTGTTCTTATGTTGTACTGTTACACCACTGTCCCAGGTTTGGGGAAAGGTTGGTGCCTTCAAACTAGTATAACCCCGCCACATTCTGGATGTGCCTATCCCAAGTCAGGAGCCTGCAATTCAGTGGTTGTCGTTTGTTGCTGTGTTACATATTTGTTTTTCGTTCATTATTTTGTACATAAATTAGGCTGTTAATTTTCTCATTTAAATTGTTTAACATTTGTCCTTTTGGGGCCTTTTATAGCTTACTATGCGGTATGGACTTTGCTCATTGTTGAAAGCCGTATGGTGACCTATAGTTGTTAATTTCGGTGTCATTTGGTCTCTTGTGGAGAGTTGTCTCATTGGCAATAATACCACATCTTCTTTTTATATATAAAATCATAGCTGCAGAAAAAATTGTCAAAAAATATCATAAGGACCTAAGAGCTACGGATCCACAGCTAGCAAAATCACAGACATAAGTTTTGAAAAACATACACATGCCTAGCAAAGGAATAACAGCAGAGTTGAAACATAAATTTGCAAAGCTAAAAACTAATAAGCACTAGTCAATGTATGTATGTGCTTCAAGTAATGAAAAAAAAAAATTGCTATAAAATCAATTTTTTTAGTTCAAAAATTTAGTTTTCTTTAGGCTTTTCTTCTCGTGTTTCTAGGGACAAGCCATTTTTTTACTTGAATCAATCAAAGCACGAAAGCGCTGTAAAGGCAGTTAATTACAGGTTGTGTGTATTTTAAGTCCAGTTATATCATTATCTTGCATAGTACAGTGTACTTATCAGAGGTGGCTTTCAGTATTTAAGATTTAGAGTTCTCTAATGATATTGAATAAGTTTTATGAATGTCATATTCTGAGCACTATATGAAGGCGATTGTTCTCACTTGTTTATGAACTAGTGCATTATGTCCAGTTTGTACCTTTTTGATCTATGTTTATAGTCAAATTAGTTATCAAAGGTACCAGGATTATAATTTAATACGCCAGACGTGTGTTTCGTCTACATAAGACTCATCAGTGACGTTCAGATCAAAATAGTAACAAAGCCAAACAAGTACAAAGTTGAAGAGCATTGAGGACCCAAAATTCCAAAAAGTTGTGCCAAATACGGCTTAGGAAATCTATTCCTTGGATAAGAAAATCCTTAGTTTTTTCATTGGCAATCATAACACATCTCCTTATTTATATAATGATCTATATTCAACGACCTCAGGTACAAAAAAAAATGTATGTAACTAAACTATGATGGGAAACCTTTGACTTCTTTCTTTATATAAACTTTTGATTTGGTACCATAGAACTATGTAGAGTAAATGTACATTGCAACATGTCAACTCTTTCAACTCCAAGCAAAATTATATTTCCAAGCATAAAGTAATTTATGAATGAAATAAAATGCTCCGCTGGGGCGCAGCTTGATACGACCGCAGAGGTCGAACCCTGAACAGTTGGGGCAAGTATGAACACAACATTCAAGCTTGATTCAGCACTGAATTTGGATTGTAATTAAATATTTGACACAGCATAGGTTTCTGACACAGAATGAAAGTGGTCTAAGATACTTAAAAAAATTTAATTTACCTATTCAAACCATATCATTATTATTTGCTTTTATATATAAATCAGAAATAACCAATTTAAAATGGAAAATTTTAAAGAAAAAAAAGGAAAAAGAATCCCCCCCCAAATTTTTTGAACCCCCTTATGATTCATCACCCCAAAACTCAATCCCAGCCTTCCCTTTGTGGTATGGTACCTTGCAGTACAATTTCAGAGAGATCCATACACTTGAACACATGTTATTGTCTGGAAACTAGAAAAATGCTTGTTTTTTGGCCCTTTTTTGGTCCCAAATTCCTAAACGTTTAGGGCAATTACCCCCAAACTCAAACCCAGCTTTCCCTTTGTGATATGGAACCTTGTAGTACAATTTCATAAAGATCCATACACTTACACACAAGTTATTGCCATGAAACTAGAAAAATGCTTGTTTTTTGCCCCTTTTTGGCCCCTAATTCCTAAAATTTGGAGGCAATTACCCCCAAAATCAATCCCAGCATTCCCTTTGAGATATGGAACCATGCGATACAATGTCAGAGAGATCCATAGACTTACACACAAGTTATTGTCATGAAACTAGAAAAATGCTTGTTTTTTGCCCCTTTTTGGCCCCTTATTCCTAAAATTTGGAGGCAATTACCCCCAAAATCAATCCCAGCATTCCCTTTGTGGTATGGTACCTTGCAGTACAATTTCAGAGAGATCCATACACTTGAACACAAGTTATTGTCTGGAAACTAGAAAAATGCTTATTTTTGGCCCCTTATTCCTAAACTTTTTGGGCAATTACCCCCAAACTCAATTCCAGCTTTCCCTTTGTGATATTGAACCTTATAGTACAATTTCATAAAGATCCATACACTTACACACAAGTTATTGCCATGAAACTAGAAAAATGCTTGTTTTTTGCCCCTTTTTGGCCCGTAATTCCTAAAATTTGGAGGCAATTACCCCCAAATTCAATCCCAGCATTCCCTTTGTGATATGGAACCTTGTGATACAATGTCAGAGACATCCATAGACTTGCACACTCTTTATTGTCATGAAACTAGAAAAATGCTTGTTTTTTGCCCCTTTTTGGCCCCTAATTCCTAAAATTTGGAGGCAATTACCCCAAAAAATCAATCCCAGCATTCCCTTTGTGATATGGAACCTTGTGAGATCCATACACTTACACACAAGTTATGTCTGGAAGTTACAAAAATGCTTATTTTTGGCCCCTAATTCCTTAACTGTTGGTACCATAACCCCCAAAATCAATCCCCACTTTCCTTTTGTGGTATTGAACCTTATTTTAAAATTTCATTGAGATCCATTCACTTAAACTAAAGTTAGAGTGCGAAAACTAACGTGTCTTCGGATGACGACGCTGGACGACGACGACGCCAACGTCATACCAATATACGACCACAAAATTTGTTTGCAGTCGTATAAAAAGGAGTTCTTAATTAAGAAATAAACTGATTTGCTGAGCGCAGCTGGATACACCCGCAGAGGTACTACCCTGAACAGCTGGGGCAAAAATGGACACAATATTCAAGCTTGATACAGGTCTGAATTTGGATTGTAATTAAATATTTGACATATTATAGTTTCTGAATAAATGTAGTCAATGAACTTGAAATCGGTTATATGAATTGAATTTATATTCAATTAAAGATTTCTTGCTGTTGTGCAATACACTGTGCTGTTGTGCAATACTTAATAAATCTGTTGCCAGACTATAAACAAATAAAGTTCAATTTCTTCTCAATGTCATATTTGAAATTTATGAAAATCAATAGGGAGATTACATCAATAGCTATAAATAATTCACCAAATCCCCCCTTTTTTAATGAATAAAACCCCATAACTCAGAAATGTAAAATCTAAAATTTATAAAATTCTAAAGGGAGCTTACAAATTGATAATTTAGTCTTAGATACAGATTTTTTTATCAGTTGTTAGTGGCTTTGAACTAGCTGTCAGTAACTGCGAGTACTCTCAGATTTGTACTTAGTGTCTTTTTGTTGT